TATGAAAGATAGAATGATTAGAGATGTTTTCTATATGAACTTGTAGCCCACGAAAAGCTCTACAAAACTGGATATGCGAGAGTTTTTCTACAAACATTTTGAACTAATACTGAGGATCATAATAGCGATACTTCATGCGCATAGCCATGTATCAGTAAATTGACTCCAGCTCCTTTAAAAAAGTTGTACGAAAAGAAGATTTATTATATAGCAGTCGACGCGCCTTGGCTTGCTCTACAACATGGTGTATTTAGTTTTTCAATTTCGAATATTTCACCCATATCGACAGGGTCCTTTGCTACGAATGAAATCTTTTCTTCTAGCTCAGTAATATTTCAGTTGATGCTATATTCTCTTTCAAAACATAACTTATGTTTTGAAAGAGAATATAGTTAGCGCGACAGCGGCTGCCGCGCTAACTAGTTTACTTTCAATCTCTCAAATTAACACAGTACAGAGTATTTAGACAGGCATTTATTATCTGTCTTATACAAGTGTTTAGATGAGAACACAAGATTTATTCTTTCCTTATTTTATGCTATGAAATACAAAAAAATTTTATGTGTAGAATCTGAGCGTAGAAGAAAGCTAAATTAGAGCGAAACGATATAAGATCATCAGAAAGCGGTATCTTTGATGTTCATGGATAACATAACGTGAGCGTCTTGAGACAACGCCTCTTAAACTATACATATATATGAGTGAATTGCTCAGCCGTTCGATCGGCATTCGCAGCTAAAATAGGTGAACAATGTTGTGAACTTCTCTGATTCCACGAAAAAGCGCAGAATGTAATATAAAGCTGAAACGTTTTCTGGGCTCATCCCACGATTTGAAGAGGGCAGCAAGTATTTCTGATCGATTCGTCATGATAGACTATTTATATTCTGTAACTTTTATTATCCTTAGATGACTTTTTATGCGATCGACACTGACTGATTTCCGGCGACATCTATCTCACAACTATAGAAAAATTTGCCTAGCTTTTTTAATCTCTGCGTTAGTAAATATCATTCCAACCATCTAGCTGAATATTTTCTCTAATATAAAAAACAATTTTTTTTGCTCTCTTGTGATTGGCTTGTCTATAGAATATCTGACAGCCATTTTCCATATTTTAGACAGTCAACCATTTTGTAAACGTTAGGCTAAAGTCAAGGGAATAGCAATTCTTATGCATGACTTGGTTTGACTTCACAGACATGTGTGTGTGTGACAAATATACATAGAGACAACCATTTTTCTAACACCCTAGACTAAAGTCAAGGGAGAAATATCATTGCTAATCATGAGTCTATTTGTCTCCGCAGTATCAAAACAACTTTACACAATTGCTTGCAAGCAAAATTTTCTTCGATGGACTGAGGCAAATCGTCGTCATCCGTTCAGAGTCACTTCTTTTTTGTCGAATTATACATTGATATCACGATTCTGTTCGTCTGGATCGACATGGGTAACAGAACCTGAGACTTCTTCTAAACTGAACTGCAATATTCATATATTGACACCCGACGGCGCATTACGTGTTTATACCGGTCCATTCGATCGTGCGCAAATCTGCGAAGAATATGGTCTCGTTCCCAGAGATTTGCAAAAGATCGATACCGACTTGCATATCAATGTTCCCAAGATCGATGTACGTAGTGGGAAATTTATCGGCTTCTCCTTTCGAAGACATCGCGGCGTGATACAGTCCGATCGTAGCGTCTTCTTCCTACCATCGAGTGACACACTTCTTTCCGAGCCCGTTATAATAAAACATGTCGGCCGATGGGAACATATTGCTCAAACGTACGAGCGAAATATCCGATTTGTTCATCAACTCTTCAATCAACGATTCGTCAATCAAACATCAACTAACTCGAAAGCAGCATCTGTGGATAAAATCCCTTTCGAATTTAAAATGATCGATATTATCTTAGACTCGGTAGCGAATGGTTTAAAATTAAAGACACAAGAACTACTCAAGGAATATGAACATGTCCAGGAAAGTGCTTATGCTCGCATCACCGTCGTTAGTTTACGGCAACTCGCCCTATTAAAAACTAAAGTGGACAAGCACAAACGAAACGGTGATCTCGCTCACAAATCCATCGCTGACGTCCTCGCCCAGGACATCGATCTAGCCGGAATGTATCTAACTGATGAGCGTGAAAGAAAGATTTCTGATCACATTGAAGCTGAACTTTTACTTGAATCCTCCGCTAAGGAAATGGCAGAAGTTCTTCGAGATATTTATGACCTTGCAGATATGGTTCGAACACTCGAAAGTGCTACGGGATTTATGCTTGACGCAGTCAGAAACGATCTGATGGCATTCGAAATTAGAATTAATATTGTCACAATGGCATTCGGACTTGGTGCATTTATCGTCGGAATCTATGGAATGAATTTTACCAATGGATTTGAACAACATCCCTATGCATTCTACGTCGTATGTGGGAGTTCAATGGTTAT